CTGGAGTCCTGCGTTCAGCTCTGGAGCCCTCAGCACAAGAAGGACATGGAACTGTTGGAGCGGGTCCACAGGAGAGCTACAAAAATGATGCGAGGGCTGGAGCACCTCTCCTATGAGGACAGGCTGAGAGAGTTGGGCTTGTTCAGCCTGGAGAAGAGAAGGCTGCGGGGAGACCTGATTGCAGCCTTTCAGTACTTAAAGGGAGCCTATAGGAAAGATGGGGACAATCTTTTTAGTAGAGACAGCAGTGACAGGACGAGGGGTAATGGTTTTAAACTAAAACAGGGTAGGTTTAGGCTGGATATAAGGAAGAAATTCTTTACAGTGAGGGTGGTGAAACACTGGAACGGGTTGCCCAGAGAGGTAGTGAAGGCCCCATCCCTGGAAACATTCAAGGCCAGGTCGGACAGGGCTCTGAGCAACCTGATCTAGTTAGCGGTGTCCCTGCTCGCTGCGGGGGGGTTGGACTAGATGACCTCTAGGGGTCCCTTCCAACCCAAAACTTTCTGTGATTCTGTGATCTTTTGTGTTGAAAACAATTCCTTTCAAGTGTAACAGTTCCTCTCCCTTCTACATGTGTGAGTACAGCAGTACCAGGCTACAGGCTGTGCTGTTTTTCTCTGGACAGTGATAGGGGTATTTGTGGGAGTGACTGAAGTTCTAGATGCTGGAGGCTTGATTCAGTCATTTGAACTTCGATTCTACTGCCATTTAAGATTCCTCAAGGGGCTGGAGCTTCTTCGTGGGGCTGTCAGATATGACACAAGACCTAGAGGAGATCTATGCTCCTCCAGACTGGTGGCTGGAGGTCAGGTGGGCCTTTCAAATGGCACTAGACCTAGAGATGAAGGTCGAGACCTGCAGTGCATTTCTGTTTCAGAGACTGAATTTTAGGTATCTACTTGTAGTCATTCACAGGTCAGCTAAGCTTCCATTATCATCAGGGAGGACCAAGATCTCAATTTAATTGCATAGAGAGGCATTTCAGATGTCTAAAGTACCTTTGAGATTGCCTAGATACCCCTTTTCTGTTTTTCTGGAAGGGCAGCTGGAGGCTGAGTCTACTGTAAGTAATGATATGTCTGCCAACTCCATAAAGGTGATACTCTACTTTGTCTCAGATGGAACTAGGTAGCCATGTGTAGGCATCTGAATGGAGTCCCAAGTCAATACTGTCCTTGGAGTCAACAGATTTATTTAGCTGACAAGATGTCTGCCATACGATGAGCTCAGAAATATCCTAAACTCCATACTCGAACTCTGTTGAATGCATGATTTCATGTATACCTAAAGTACATGTTACACATATACATCTACCCAACAGGCACCTAAAGCTGGGATTCAGGGATGAATTCCAGCTGTGAAGGGGCTGGCTGAGTGGCTGAAAAAGCATACTGGTCCTTTCTAGTGTAAAATTACTTAATATCCCTTTTAGTTCTGCACACCTTACTCTCCACTTATGCTCTTGATAAAGCATCTAAGAATATTATCTTCCTCGCCAGTATTTTGTACATCGCAGTTCAGTCCCGCTCCTCCATCCCTATGAGCAAATTACAGCTACCT